TATATATATATATACTTATATATATATTATATATGCATATACTATATATACATACATATATATATATACATATATATATATATATATATGCGTATATATATAGCGTGAGTGCGCATGCAGAGCGGATGATTGTTCTTTGCACAGACACCGCCAGTGCTAGCTCGCCTAAGCGTAGCTTCTTAACCCCAAACCCTAAACCCTAAACCCTAAACCCTAAACCCTAGGCCCTACAACACAAACCTTAAACCCTAAACCCTAGGTCTTAAAATGTAAACCCTAAGTGCCGTAAGGCTTTAAATCTAAACACCAAAGCCTAAATTTAAACCCTAAAACCCTAAACCCTGAACCCTAAACATAAAACCCTAATATTCCTAAAGTGGAGGGCCTTAAACGCAAACCCTAAACCCTAAACCCTCGACCCCGCGTATGAGAGCAGATAGCAAATGATGAGAGCGTCAGTCTGTTTAAAAAGCCAAAATAAACAAGCAGAGATATGTTGTTTGTTCTATAAGGGTTTAGGGTTTAGGGTTTGGGGTGTGCAAGGGTTTAGGGTTTGCGCAGCAAAAAGAGAGAGCATTGGGTGACGGTGCATCTGCATGCATTTACCTAAAGTTGAGGTGTACGTACACCTGAAGTAAAATATAATTGTTCATGCATTTTTAACTTTTCTTTCTTTTCTAACCCCTCCTCCTCTGCCTCGCGCTTTTGTTTGGACTGTCTTTGCTGCTGCTCTAGACCCTGCTTTCTTATTAGCAGCAGAGTTGTCTCGCTTTGCTGCTGCTGCTGCTGCTGCACTGTCTCCTTCTGTCTCTTCTTCATCCGTCTCCTCACCAGAGACATCTCCTTCTTCTCGCTCTATCACCTGCATATACACCCCAATACGCAAACACCACCTTCAGATGCATGCATATATATATATATATATATATACCTATTTATTTATATACCTATTTATTTATTTATTTGTTTGTTTGTTTATTTGTTCATAGGCAAGTAAACATCTATATATATAATATATATTTGTGTAGACATGTTTGTATATATATTATATATTATGCATATAGGTATATGCGTACATAACTGTAAAAATATATTAAAGTTATTTATAATATGTTTAATATTTATGATATATAATATATTTAATATTATTGATATATAATATATTTAATAGTTATTATATATAATATATTTAATACTTATTATATACAATAAGAGAAGGATGTGCATGCAAGTACTTTATACACCAAAGACAGCTATAATATGCATATTAAAAAAACATATAAATATAAATATAAATATGATTATGAATAAGAATATAAATATAAATATAAATATAAATATAAATATAAATATAAATATAAATATAAATATAAATATAACCATACCTCTTTAAGGGATTGGGGGCCGCTGCGTGTTCGTTTCGGCTGTATGCACAGCTGCTGCTGTATTGAAGAACAGAGACGAGTAAAAGCTGCCTTGCTGCGGCTCTCTACTAAATCGTATAGCCTTGTCTGCAGCAGCAGCAGCAGCAGCAGCACAAACAGCAGCAGAAGCAGCACATACAGCAGCAGAAGCAGCACAGGCAGCAACAGAAGAAGTACAGATAGCAGCAGCAGCACACACAGCAGCAGCAGAATCAGCACAAACAGCAGCAGCAGAAGCAGAAGCAGCAACAGGGCAAACGGCAGCAGCAGCAGCACAAGCAGCAGCAGCAGCACAAACAGCTCATATGTACATCCCTTTTTTGTCTTCTTCCGAGTTGTCAGCCATCGGCATTTATTATTATTATTAAAATGAGTGTAGAAGATGCATATACACCTCAAGATTAAACAAGAGAACAAGCAGAAAATGTGTTAACAGACGCATCCAAACGCACACCTTGACCCCCTAGGGTTTAGGGTTTAGGGTTTAGGGTTTAGAGGCGCACCTGCTTCTTTAGCATTAGAGACTGCATATGTTCTAACAGATGCTCTCTCCTAAGCCCGTAGGCCGCCAGTCTATCAACTGTCTCCTGAGGGTCTCCTCCCCGAGCCAGCGGTGCTACTATCTGCATACACAAACCCTAAACCCTAAACCCTAAACCCTAAACCCTAAACCCTAAACCCTAGGTGGTTTACAGGGGCCTCCCCACTCTTATGCTAGACTGAGTTCCTATAGACCCTAAACCCCTAAACCCTCAAGACCTGAATCCTAAACCGCTAAACCCTTAACCCTCAAGACCTAAAACCCTAAGCCCTCAAGACCTAATCCCTAAACCCTAAACCCTAAACCCTTGCCATGGTGTATAAGGCGTCGAGGTAGCCAGAGAGTTTTAAGGACCCAATGCTGGAGCCGGCAGTAGGGATTTTTAAAAGATGAAGAAGCAACTCAGAGAAGAGTCTTCTGTTCTTTGTTTGTGTGCTGCATGCATGCAGACAAACAAATACACAAAAAATATATAAATGCATAAAGAAACATTTATACCCTCATGCATGCATTTAAGTGTTTATAAATATTTAACATTATATATTTACATATATATATATATATATTATATGTATATATATACATATATGAATTTCTATGCACATATATACATATATATATACATATATATATATATATGTATACGTACACGTGTATACAAATACGCCTTTATATAAACATAAATATATGCTAATAGATATGCACACAGATAAATATATACAAATATATATGTATATATATATATATGTAAATATATATGAAAATATATATAAACATATATATATATATATTATGTATATATAGAGCCTACGGCGAGCACTGTGTAGACTAAGACAAAGAAGAAAACGAAGAAAAGAGAGAGATGCATGCAAAGACTATTTAGAAACAAACAATAAAAATAAACAGACGGCGCATGCAGCATTTGTCTCCTGTCTCCTTTCCGTCTCCTCCTGTGCAGCAGATGGATCTAGCCACCGAAAAACCCTAAACCCTAAACCCTAAACCCTAAACCCTAAAAAGAGGTTTACCTGTTGCGGCCGAGCCAAGAAGGGAAATTAGCACGCGGAATAAAACCCCCAAGCTTATGAACCTAAAAAGAGACAAAATTAAAGAGGAGACAAAATCAAAAAGGAGACAAAAAATTTAAATGGAGACAAAATCAAAAAGGAGATAAAGAATTAAAAAGGAGACAAAATTAAAAAGGAGATAAAGAATTAAAAAGGAGACAAAATTAAAAAGGAGATAAAGAATTAAAATGGAGACAGAAAATTAAAATGGAGACAGAAAATTAAAATGGAGACTAAAAATTAAAAAGGAGACAGAATTAAAAAGGAGACAAAATTAAAAAGGAGACAGAATTAAAAAGGAGACAAAATTAAAAAGGAGATAAAGAATTAAAAAGGAGATAAAGAATTAAAAAGGAGACAAAATTAAAAAGGAGACAAAATTAAAACAGATAAAGAATTAAAATGGAGACAGAAAATTAAAATGGAGACTAAAAATTAAAAAGGAGACAGAAAAATAAAAGGAGACAGAAGATTTAAGAGACAAAATTAAAAAGGAGACAAAAATTAAGAGACAAAAAATTGAAATGGAGACAGAAATATAAAAGGAGACGGAAAATTAAAAGGATACAGATGAATATAAAAGGAGACAAAAAAGGTAAAAGGAGACAGAAGAAAAAAGGAGACAGAAAAATAGAAGGAGACAAAAGATAAAGAGGAGACAGAAGATTAAACGGAGACAAAAAGTGAAAAGGAGACAGAAAATAAAAAACAAATGAATAAAAAAGGGACAAAAAAGTTAAAAAAGGCAGAGGATTAAAAGGAGATAAAATATAAACAGCAGACAAAAAATCAAAAGGAGACAAAAGATTAAACGGAGACAGAGGAAAAAGGAGACAGAAGAACAACAACAGCAACAACAACAACAACAGCAACAACAACAAGAACAACAACAGCAACAACAACAACAGCAACAACAACAATAACAGCAGCAGCAACAACAACAGCAACAACAACAACAACAACAACAACAGCAACAACAGCAGCAACAACAGCAACAACAGCAGCAGCAGCAGCAACAACAAGAAAGAAGAGACAAAAATACATTTATAAGCACTCACTTCGGCTGGGACATTCAAACAGCAGAAGGCGCCGATGACGGAGAGCAGCGACCAATCCTGACTCTATAAAACAAAATAAAAAGATAAAAAAAATTAAAAAATTAAAAATAAAACAAACAGAAACAAAAACAAACACCTTCAAGTGTACGTGCATACACCCCACATGGTTTCAGCTGTATGCGCAGACACCCCAGAAATAATACAATGTAAGTATATATATACTTCGTATTTAAGGTGTATATACACTTCATATTTGATGTGTATATACACCCTATAGATGAGGTGTATATACATACACCCCAGAATGCTTGCCGTGTATATACACCCCAGAATGCTTGCGGTGTATATACACCCCAGAATGCATGCATATATATATATATATATATGTACATACACCCTCGGGTGTATGCGTGGGTGTAGAGCTGCATGTTTACTGTGTTTTTCTGCAAATGTTTGGTCGGCCTCTGCTTACAGATCTAAGAACCGAGTTTGCGGTGTCTGCTCTGCTAAGTGCAGCAGCAGCTTTGCTGCAGCAGATTAGAGACTCCAGCTCTGCTGAAGGCGTCCCTCTACACCCCACAGGTGTCTCCTTCGAGGATGATAAAGTACTTCGCTGCTGCAAACCCTGAGATATGCCTGTTAGATAATTCTCCTAAAGCAGCCAGCAACAAACCCAAACCCTAAACCCTAAACCCTTAACTCTAAACCCTAAACCCTAAACCCTAAACGGTAAACCCTGGAAAGAGTATATATAGCATTCGTAAACCCTCATGAACCCTAATAAACACTACCAAGCCCTACTAAACCCTAATAAACCCTCACAAACCCTAACAAACCCTGATAAACCCTACTAAACCCTAATAAACCCTAAAAACTAATACATATAGTTCTCACTTGAATGAGAAGAGGCAGCATATCGTAATCAACAAAAAACAAATCCATTTTCTCCCTCAGCTTTAATTTGCTGCCGGTGCGCGTATCTAGCAGCAATTTACAGCACTCAAAAGGGCCCAGCATCACCTGCACAGACACCCCACAGATGAGCAGACACCCCACAGATGCACAGACACCCCACAGATGCAAAGACACCCCACAGATGCACAGACACTCCACAAATGCAAAGACACCCCATAGCTGCGTAGACACCCCACAGCTAGGCTGCGCTGCATTAAGGCCCCGTAGATATGAATAATATATAATAATATATAATATAAAACACAAAATATATAATAATATACAGTATACAATATATAATATATAATATATAATATATAATATATAATATATAATATATAATATATAATATAT